AATTTCACGGTTAGAGTTTATCTCCAAAGTATGCCACAAAAATAAATTTATTTAATTTTTGTTTTAAACGTAAATGATTATAAATATTGTTTTATTAACATTTGTATCATATTTTTCAAACAATTTTTGTTTTATGTGCTAATATATTGCAAGACTGTTATTTTTTACAGCAATACGAGTGGTATTAATTTTTTGTAGGAGATAACACTAAAGTTGTAGCCTTGTAGGAGTTAACCATTCCCCAAATGTTGGGCTACCACCAATCCTACTGTAATGATAGCATGTAAGGTTATACAATCGCTAATAATAAAAACATATTCAAGCTTATACAAAGAATGATCTCTAATTTAGTTATCGCCATATTTGATCGATCAATATTAAAATTATTGAATGGTATGGCGTTTAAATGACTTTATCAGTTATCTGGAATATTTCGTATACCAGMTAGATATTATTATACAATATTTAACGCGATTAAATAGTTTACGAGTCTTTTATATATTATTATATGATTATTAAACCTAGTAGAGGGTCGAAGATTGGAAAGTCTGATACACCTTAATTTTGTGGGAAGGACATTGAATTGTCTTTTTTTTTTAAATCATATTTATAACAAGCTTATAAAGAATCTTGTATTAAATTTTTAAGTTTTTTAACTGAGCAAACATTTTAAAACTCAAGCATTCATAAAATGAATGGCATTCCAAATTTCTATAAACATTTTTTTTTAAATCTTAAGTATTTATGGTTACTGGTTTGAACATAATTCTAATTACAATAAAAATTATGAAATCATTTTTGCCAAAARTGTTTTATGACAYATGTAAAAATGTTAGTGTTTCTTTATTTTTCCCAATTATTAGAATATTTACCAGTAATTTTTAYTTTTAACTATCCAAAAAACCAACAAAATTTCCGTTACCACCAGAAAAGTTATTGAAGTAGAAAACCTAAGCGTTTTTATTGCTCTAAAAGTTGATGACAGGTACAAAGAACACACATCATTGTAAAATCAATACTTTCATCTCTTCGTGGTATGGAATATGAAATTTTTGCTCTCAAAATATTATTAAATTTAAACGTAGGTATTGCAAATAATCGTTGTAAACACTCCCATGTATGTAAACCATTWTGATATGGAATGTAACTTTTCAAAATATTTGGTATACAAGAGAGGTTGAATTTCAAWTTCAAAATCGTAAAATTATTTTTAAGTCTAAAGTGCACGTTACATATTTTTCATTTCAATTCACGAAMTAGTTACAATAGCTATATAATAATATTTGTTAATAAAACTCAGTTATGTTTAGTTAGAAAATTTAAATGTAAAAAATAAAAATTATTTGATATAATAAGCTGGTATTATTGAAGCATTTATAAAAGTTTWCTATTTAGTTTTAAATGTTTTTAAAACCCAATTTTAAAAAGTAGATATAGCTCATAGTTTCAAGCCACAAGCACTTTAAYCGTTTTGTACTAGTTGCTCAAAKATYGTTTTATTCTGGTAAGCATTTTGTTGAATTATAATACTGCAATCTTTAACTATGATGCGAATTCTTKWAAAAAAATATATTCAGTTGATACTTTTGGGGGTGGTAAGTAAAAGTTTTCAGTTCTTTTCAAAATAATRAAAAACACACAAAAAAAATGTATGTGGAATCAGTTTTTGACGAAAAAGATTTTATCATWCTGTTTYMWTYMAAAAAWWAWWAWT